CATCACCACAGTAGTTTATTATACGTATAATAAACTACTGTGGTGATGGGTGTGGTGATGGGTGTACATTACTAACTACTTATTTAGTTTTACTAAACCCACACGGAAATCTTAAACGTCTTGCAGTTACTTTTAGTTTTATTAGTTTGCTTAGTCAGTTTAGTTAAATTCAGTTTGTGTTTGGTTTTAGTGTAGTTTATTATTTATTTTTATAAGTCTTTGTTTGGTTTAGTTTATATTAGTTTTTAATTTAGTTAGTTTTCATGAGTTTCGTTGAGTGTAGTTTTATTAGCAGTATGAGGTCCCTTTTCGGCTTAAAATGTGAAAAATGCCTATCTGTAATGTTTTTACTTCAATCTCGAAAATTCGCAGTTGTTTGCGCTGTTCCCCATTTTGCGCAGTTCCTATTTTCTATTGGTTGTATTTATCATTGTAATAATCGCGCGCAAAACATAAGGTTATTTAAATAATCATCTGTATTATTTTTTACCTTTTTGTGCTCTTCTTTTTATTTATTTGTACTTTCCTCCATACAAACCACCCATTTAACCCCTTTTACCATCAGTCCTGTACTAGAGAAACCTGGAGTTTTTGCTAATATCGTGATATGTCAGCTGAATCCTTACCGAGTAATTTAAGCGAAGTCTAGATAAATATTCTATAATTTTTTTTGTGTTCATAGCGCTGTCATCCCCGCATACTTTACCACCGATGTCCCCTTTACATTTCTGACCTCCAGATAGAAAATGCACCAACCGTGCTTAAGACTGAATGCATCTCAAGTTCTTGCAGATGAGGCAGTTAGTTGTGATGTTTGAATCATGATTCGACTCGGAAAGTAAAAATTCGGGGCCCTAGAGAATACTCCCAAAGCTCCGTGAGACTTCGTATTTTGGATGTCACTCTTCGGGTAGGGGAATCTATTAGGCGATGGGTTGTCATTCACGGATCGTCATGCTGTCTTTCATGGATCATGCTCGTTTACCTCCAGGTAGAGTGGGACAAGTGAGTCCCGTTAGGCGATCGGTGAACGTTCATCAACGAGATCAAGTTGTGTCGTACACTGTTGAATTGGAAGAGCAAATTGATCCCAGTTCATTACGTGGAGTTCGCCATGAACATCTCAGCCAAGACAATTCGGGTCCGCAAAATCGGCAAGTTATACCACTGCATAGCGGCAGTACTGTTTTTCAAACTGTTAAACTTTGAAGGTCGTGATACTTTATTCCACCTAAAAGCGTTACGGTTCAGCTGAATATCCGCTCTGCTGGATTGGGAAAGAACCATGGCCTGAGAGTGGTTGAGGATCTCTATACCGCTTCACGACAGGATGTCGGTGACTAACTTCTCCATATCGTGATCACATACGATGACAAGGGAAAACACATCTGAAGACCAGAGCGGTTCGATGATGATTGAGCCCAGCCACATCAAGAAGTTGCGTGTGCAGATCACGTAAGCGTCGTCAATACCGCAGGGAATTAAGCTTATAAGGTAAAAACCTTTACCACTACGATCTTCAAGCACGGTACCGTGTGGAAAGAGAAGAAGGGAGACGTCAGATGGAAGGAATAGTGTATTCTATGCAGACGTAGTGGAGAATAGATGGCGAAAATTGACAGTCAGATCAGCATGCGTCCGATCGCGAAGGCCGGTATCCGAAGTATGTTATCTTGGGAATTGTCACACGAGGTTCTACGCGAGTCAGCCTCAGAGAGGTAATTAGCCAGACCGTACTGAGGGAGCCAGGCGTTGGTGTGTCCATAATTATTAGCCACTGCGAGATGTTAAGCATTGGCGCGGTTTTGCGGCACCTGTGATTGGCTGTCCCACGGGCCACCGAGACTATCATCAAGCGACTTAATGTGCGGCGTGACGCGGGAAGAGGTAGGTGCCAGAGGGCCACTACACGGCTACTTGGTGGCGGTGTGCCTTTGTCCCCCAAGTCAGCACGCTATTGTGGTACTTCTGAAAACCATTCAGCTTTATTTGTCCGTTCGCATGAATTAGATTTTCCTTATTGGCCAGTCTTTCGTGGTGTTGAGGATATCTCCTACTTCAGGAAATGAGTTCGTTCATTTGCGTTGCAGCTTGCATCATGAAATGACTTGATTAGGCTGACAGTGATGATGACATTTTACGAGCAAACTAAACATGCATTTAACATCTCATTCCCCATTTACACGCTAACGGCAGCGGTAGAAAATCACTTATTAGATTACTCTTGCAAACCCAGAAGCCATGTATTTTTACTATTTCGACTAACCAGCAGCTACTCGGGTTTCGCCTGCAAGTATGTAATGGACGCACACCTTTCCAATTTTTACTCAGCCATTTTGCTACAAAAGTTAAACTGACCTGAAAAAGTTATATTCCATGCAGTATATCATCAGATCGTTAAATGCTATCTTTTAGGCTGCAAGCTATGGAAACGCTGGCTAAGCTGCCGCAATCGACAAAAGTCTACTGTGGTCACGAGTACACCGTCAAGAATCTACAGTTCGCACAAACCGTGGAACCAGGCAATGCTGCTCTGAAGGAGCGCCTTGAACACTGCAAGTCGCAGCGCAATGCTGGGCAGCCTACTGTGCCGGGCGTTATTGCTGACGAACTTGCCACAAATCCCTTCATGCGGACTGCGCAGCCGTCAGTACAGGCCCACACAAAGACCACCTCAGCCGTGGACACGATGAAAGTCTTGCGTCAACAAAAAGATGCTTTCTAGCCTTCGCGCCGCGTGATTATTTTTTCCCTGTTTTAGCATCCTTATTTGTTAC